GGGAGATGTTCAGTGGTATATGACAGAATTACTGACATCAGCATTGGCCCCATCAATTTTAGTCAAGCAACTAGCATGGCCAATAGTTGTTTCCTTATATTCTGGCTGGGCTAGCATGGGCAGCCCTTATGTCATCCCTGAGTGTTAGGTATCTTCTCATTTTTGTATATAATTTATTTTTATTTTTTGGTGTGGGACTGACACAAGGTGTGTCTGGTGGCATAATTTGGCCCCACACTCAGTGACGTTAACTTTGTAATTTGTTCAACAAACTTGACTTGCTACTTTTAGTCAAGAGTTAGGGATTTTAGAAAAACTTTGTTTATTCAATTAACTTGATATGTTACATTGTATTCAAGATTTTTCAATAACTTTTTCCGCTTATTCAAGCATTTTGTTCACTTTACCCAAATGATTAGGGTTTTTGAATAAACCGGCCACAACTGGGGTATCCAAAGTGCGGTAACCCAGTTGTGGTCCTTTTTTCAGCCAAATACAGGTGTATTTCATTGTGTAAATGGGTTCCAGACACAAAATAATTTAAATTCCCGAAAACGGTGTTAATGTATTGTACAACATATATTTTATAGCTCCAATGTCAAATAAAATAAACACAGTGACGTTAGTGTGTGGTTTGTGTCATACCGGCCTGTAAATGAATGTGGAGGAACTGTTATCTGCTGGCGCTGCGACGACCGTGCCACTGTGCCACTAAATGTGCCACTTTATGGTGATTAAGGCGCTGCGTGACAACTGTGTTGCTACATAATATCTGTGGCACTACATGGCGTTACGAAGATTGTGTTCATTGCATGATAACTGTGGCGCTGAGTGACGACTGCAGTGCCATGGTTTTGTCACAACTGGTCGATTTCATAAAACTTGCGTTGCGTGACGACTGTGAAGCTGCGTGGCGTTGTGTGGTTCTCATAGCGCTGTGTGACGACTGTGTCGCTACGTGACGACTGCATTGCCATGGTTATATGTTACAACTGTTGGATTTCATAAAACTTTCGCTGCGTGACGATTGTGAAGCTGCGTGGCGTTGTGTGGTTCTCATAGCGCTGTGTGACGACTCTGGCGTTAAATGCCGACTCTGGCGATGTGTAAGTATGTATGAACTGTTGCATTAAAATGAGGTACACACTTTTATGCGAATAACCAATATTTACAAGGGTAATCATTTTTGAAATGTAATTCAAATGTGTAATTGACTAAACGTCTTAATCTGTCATACAACGATTTGAATATGAGGTCATTCAACAACTTCCATAACTTTCATAAACATATATCAGGTTTCACTGGCAAACAAAAATATCGATTTGTGAATATTGATTATTCTGCGTCGAGCGAAGAAACAATATATTGCAGGCCGCTTTTCAAATAATGATTATTCATACAGACTCTTTTTAAAAGATAATTCTGAGACAAAGACATATCACCGAAAACCGTGTTTAGATGTGACACAGCATCAGAAACATTCACTCTGTAACTATGGCTCAATAAAAAGCGATTATTGATACAATGAGCGGTGACGCAAATTCGTACCCGTATTTCGGCGTTGCGAGGTCTATTCGTGGATTTTTTTTTTGTTAGCGGCAACGTTGATATGTATGTAAGTAAAATGTTCTCATTCTAATAAAGAATTGGGTTTACGAACGAGTAGATGGCAATCACTTATTTTGCGTTGTTTGCGTGCATTTCCAGGAATGACACACTACGTACGCTAAGTCGGATTCCGTCAAAAAATTTAGTACTTTGAATTATGGACTGACGTAATGTACCAGATAAGACAATATAAATACACTCCGCAACTCAACGTGTGAGTGTATTTTTCTGATAGTAACACGATAGTAACACGGTAAACAGGCGATGTTAAGTCCGATTCGAGACATAATTACACACTTAAGTGTAGGAAACATCAACTATTATAGCAATTGTTTTTAATTATACACAATTATTGTCATCATAATAACACAGAATGAAAAGAGCCCTTGTGCTTAATTATCGATTTGTTTAACTAATTGCGGAAGCTTACTTTAAAGAAAAAAAAGCTCCGATCACTACAATGCAGTGCGGTCGATAGTGGTCATTCAACATTAATCGATATGGTTTGTATTATTTTAACTTGGGACTCAGCAGTATGGGTACACTGGACATACCACATTTAAACATGACAATACAAGAGATAGAAACATCGCACATCTGGTAAAATCTCGTGAACTTCGATCTATTTGTGGGTGAATTTAATTTAAATGTATGATCGTCAGTGATCAGTGATCAATACATTCGCACGTCACTCGAACAGTACAGGTCTGTTCTACGCACCTTATAAAACCTCGGTGAAACCCCGAAGTTAAGTAATTTGTCCTTGCTGAGGTAGGTTGCACAACGTTTTTTCTCTCTCTATTCTAAACATTGTTCTTTTCTTTTGCCGAATCATCAGAATTTTTTCCTTTTAACTTTCCACCAGTATTTCTGCAATTATATTGCACAATAAGGTTTTTGCCATATCCATATTTGCCGGCTCATAGATGATGTATCAAACTTTTGGTTGGTGCTGGGATGTCAATGCATGATCACTAGGGTTTCTGTAATTATCTAGCCCAACAACGCGAACTAAACATACATTACTATCTCATTAGACATTAATGGTTTTATAACCTACTCATTTCATTGTTATCGGAGTGCCTACTTTAAAGTGTTATCACAATGATCGTGTTATAAACAGGAGTGTGTTTATCCGTTCAGTACAAACATGGTCGTTTGTCGGGGCCGCCTCCTCTGTACAGGTGCCAACACAACACAACACAACACACACGATGCGAATGTCAATTGGCCAACAACCCATATCTCAGTGCAATGCACCAACGTACACGGGAATATGCCACAACCTGATGCAGCTATGTCTGCGTGGTTGGAGCACTTAGATAATGTTAGTACCGCCAATCGTAAATAAAAAAACAGCGTACAATTTAATTCAATTTAACAACACATAATGTCAATATTATACTGCCTTCAATTCTTAAACAAACAGCAAAAATATCAACAAATATAACTGCTATTTCGCCCTCCATCAACACGAAATTGATATGTTTATTTGAATTTCGTATATTACAGACAATGAGTACGTCACTAGTGAACTTGGTATTCTGTTTGACTCTTGGTTTTATGCTATGCCAAATACAAGCCTTAACTGTAGAGGAAGACGACACAATCACCTTCAGCCAGCTCCACAGAATGTACGGTGCTAGGTAAGTTTAATAAAGAGAGAATATCTCGTTAATGATATCAAATTTATTAAACAAGCGGAGTAATTGTCACCAAATAATAAACTGTTTTGCTCTGTTTAACAAAAAAACACACACGCGGGAATGTAAGTGCGTATCCGAGAGTCTGCGGAGCGTGTATGGAATTGTTGCATTTGCACAAACTTACTGCCATTCACGAATAACGATTGCCGTTAGTTTACCCTCATGCGACAACAGAATGTTTATTTGTGAAGTCATGAATAAATTTACTATTCCGGCGATGCGTTAGTAACACAATTACTAATTCTGGATTTTACCCGATCAGTGACTTTATGCAATTGAACAATACACCACTGGATTGGCCAAGTGAAATAACTTTCGTGCGCCGCCGAGTTGATGTTGGGAGATTCAGAAACACATTTATTTCAGATACCGAGAGAAAGATTCGACATTTCCATCCATAAGGTTCAATTCCCTTTCCTGTAAATTAGATTACTAAAACTACTGTTAAAATAGTGTGGAAATATCCAGAATAAGCTCACTGATTTAGTACACACAAATGTGAGATATAAGATCGTACCAATATACGTAGTGCAGAGTACAATTTAAGGAGTGGAGATGACCATAAAGGCAATTTAAAAAAATAATATCAACGCTATAATAATTTAATAATATACATTTATTAAGTTTCCGAGTTGATGTTTGATATGTTTGAACTGCCTTTTTATATTTCTCTTCGGGGTCGGCTTTTACATTGTGTCGGGTATATGTCCTATATTTACAACGCGTTCCTATGGTTTTATTTCTCAAGCAAAATCAAGAGTAGACAGATAGATGTACGCTTGGATTTTATGTTTATTTTAGGACTCCTAGTGACTGGCGCGCTAAGTGGACAAGCGAAACAATTCACGCGTGCAAAGAAAATCTGTTACTTATCAAAGAGTACGCCTGTTTCGTGGACATACATAAATCAGCAGGCCGGAAAAGGACTGAGGATGGTAAGCATAACCTGGATTATTTAAAAATTCAAGAGCATAATAAATATGTTCAAATATTTATTTACAATTCAATGACATTGTAAGTACATATTTAAGTATAGTTTTTTTAGTTTCAGTATACTTAATATTAGATGTAGTGAAAAGAAAATTATTAAAACTCACAAACTCGTTGAATGATTTTTTGATATTCTATATCATTTCAGAATATTTGAGATAACTATATTAATTAGCGTAATTAAGATAACAATTTACATAATTAATTAAATGCCAGATAAACAATAAAAACTCTGGCGCTTACAACTGTGTTACTCTATATTTACTGTGGCGATTCGTAGTGCTGTAAAACGTCTATAATGATGTGAAATGACTGCAGTGCTCCATGACCACTGCGGCGATGTTCAACAACGTGGCACTGTACGAGGAATGTGACGATGCACGACGACTGTTAGGTTGCATAGTGATTGAGACGCTACACGATGACCATGGCGCTTACAAAATTATGGGACTATACGACTACTGTGGACGCTGCGTGACGACTGTGACGCTGCGTGACGACTGCGGCACTGCGTGGCGACTGTGGTGCTGTATGTATGACGGCCATGACGATTCAAGACTAATTTCTTGGGATTCCACCGCCATCTCTTGTCTTGTTCGTGAATTCCGTGCACGTTTACCCGAGTTTTCATTCCAAAGAATGACCAATCATTTGCAACTATATATACGCGAATATTAGCCAGGAATCCCTGATAAATTTCTATAATGTTCATCCGATCTGCAGATACTGCTATACGACAATTACGTTAGTACCCGATCATTGCCACCAATTCGTTTTCGTCAAGTCAAAAAGCGTTTACATAAAGTCTGGCAATATAAACACATGCAGGTTTGTGGGCACTTGGGAATGATTTTTTTTTTTTTGCTTTTTATTATCCAAAGAGTCTTGGCTATAGACTGTTAAAATTTTGTAGAATTGTGAATAGTCGAACATACTCAAAAAAACGATTTTAAAATATAGATAACAGGTGCAAACATTTATACTTTTCAACGCTTAGCAATAATTAGCAAGGCTGTACATAATTTATAAAAAAGAAACATGGTGAAAAAAAGAAATGGCGGGATCTCACATTATGCGCTATATTTAACTTCTAACAAAACTAAAATACATTTAAATTTTGAACTGTTACAGCTATTTTAAGGTAGAGATGCAGGTTCGTGGGCACTTGGGAGTGAAATTTTTTTTTTTTTGCTTTTTATTATCCAAAAAGTCTTGGCTATAGACTGTTGAAATTTTGTAGAATTGTGAATAGTGGAACATACTCAAAAAACGATTTAAAAATATAGATAACAGGTGCAAAATTATCTCTTTTGAATGCTTAGCAAGATGTAGCAAGGCTGTACATGTATAATAAAAAAGAAAACATGGTGAAGAAAAGAAATGACGGGATCTCCATATTATGCTCTGTATTTAACTTTTTACAAAACGATAATACATTTAAATTTGAAACTGTAACAGCCATTTTAATTATGAGCATTAGCAAACTTCTTACTGAGTGAATTGTTATGCAAATTAGCAATTATCTCAGCTTCTTTTTAGTGCACATCCCAGAACTTTGTTTTGAAATTTTCACAAATGATTGACAATGTGTTTATATTCAAAACGCCGTTGGGGCATTGTTTTTGATTGAACAGTGTTACAACAATCGTACAGACAACTAGCCTGGGTGTTAATTTATGCATAAACTTGAAGTAGTGAAATTTGGGCTGCTGTCCTGCAAAATTGACAACTGGTAGACATTTTTCAAGACGACACTTTCTTCATAGTAAACCGATGTACCCACAAACCAATTTTGACAGAAAACAGAAACATGGTTTAGGAGCTAATTTTTTTTAAATCACTTTTGACCCAAAAAGCACATTTTTGTGCATATTTCAAACTACAGTGTCCATAACAAAAAAATACTGACAAAATTTTAAAATTTACACAATAAGCTTTCCGAAAACATATAGTTTTGTGGACAAGGGAGGTCATCGTGGTTTCCTAATTAACTAATTAAAATACCTGTCAGGTAAACTGCATCTCTACCTTAATACAAAAAAAAAGAAAAGAGAAATGACATAAGTTTTAAGGCAAAAACAAAGTTTACCAATAATGAGCTGCGAATATGGCGATATGACTGCGATATGGCGAATGCGGTATCAATGTGTTTCTAACAACTTACAGCTGTTTCTCTCTCTCCCGCTCTTAACGATATTTCGGCGCTCATTTGAGTCTGAAGTATATTATAACGAATAAATGTCATTTTACAATGTACCACATTCCTGCTCATTGTTACGTGATTCGAAAATATAGACAAAAAAGAAAAAAAAAGATAATATTATTATTATTTATACTTCTCGTTGCAGCTTTCGTTGACTCATCACTGGCGCATGATTTTCTGAGAGGGCTTATGGAAAAACGAACCTTAAAACGATACAAAAGAGCATCTGCTACCAGCGAGTGTTGCGCCGGCGACAGTAGTTGTGTTTGGGAAGAATTGGCAGAGTACTGCACTCACCAACGGGAAGTCAGAGCGATGGACGAATAGAGCGTATTCGGGATTTTCCGACCTATTCCTGAGGAAGAGAGGCGTTTGTTGTGTACTTAGCGGGTTTTTTTAGTGCCAGACAACTAACGTCATCTAACTAGAAACAGTACTGCCTAAATGCTAGACTGGCAAAGTAGGGACTTCTTTTTTTTTTACAAACAAATATATCATTAATTGTCAGAAATCTCGACTGGACGCAGCTGCAGACGACTCCCTGCATTGGAGTGAAAACCGGAGCCGAATCACTCCGGTGATTATGCTAATTAAAGATGTTGATTAGCATTGACAACGAATCAGAGTGCAGCTGTATACGTCATATCTTATCTATGTTAATTATCGTGCCCTTTCACTTCTGAGATCCCGACGATTTTGAAAGAATACTTATATACATTGGACATTTAAATCGACTTGTTTTCAGTAAAAATGGATGAAAGTATCGCCGTTGCACTTAAAAAAATTAAAGTATCCATCTCTGCGATCGTATCGAATCAATCTTTAAAAGGTGACGTTTACTTTCACACACCCACTAATGATTAATCAATGACATTATGAATAATCAATAGCAGTCAAATGCCCGCAGATTTAGTGGTCAGGTTAGTTTACGCGATCACGCTAAAAGGAATAACAGAACAATTAATTATTTCTTGTTGTAAAACAAAAAAAGAAATCCCGACTTTGCCAGTGTGGATGTGTGAAACATTAAGAGTATCTCGGAAAGACAAACAAACAAACAAACGCCAACTCTACTCCCTTGAATTATAATGGTTGATCCCAAATCGCGAGGCAGTGCCTTATAAGAAATACATTATTTAGTTACTTAAACATCTATTTTCCTATAGAGTGCGAAGGTTTACTTTCTCGAGAATGATGTTTTTTTCCCTAATCCACCTATTTGCAATCATTCAATTTTGCTGGAGCTTCTTAACTTTCCACCATTTGTTCCTTCATTCTCCTCCCTAACTAAGTTTAACCGCGAAGCATCACGGTCAATTACGTCATATTAATGGGACACATAATCTTCCTCACTATGTCTTGAATTATAGGGAATCATACATCATCTCATATGCTTGATCGTTTACATGGTTTATTGATTGGCACACGTCCTAGATTATTTTCGCCCCGCTCAGCTATTATGAATTCGCAGCAGTGTACTGTTTGTGACGCACATTCGTGAAAACTGTTTTGTTTTATATTTTTATTTGTTCTTAGTCTGTAATCGATCAATTAATCAGTCGGCACGAGATGGTGCGACGACTGTGGGTTTTAAAAGAAATAGATAAGTCGCCCATTCTTCGACGGTTTAGCTGCTTCACAGGCCATATATTCATTACATTTATCGTTTAGTTCCATATTTCTATCTGGTTTTACGTTTCAGAACGAAATGTTGACGACTGTATTTGTTTTCTTATTAAGTCTATTAGTAAATGATTTTATTGTAATATGTCCGTGAAAAATGACGTCACAGTAAGCTTACAATTCTTGAAGGATTTGTTATTATAGACATGCTTGACATTCATGTGAGTTCACTTGTATTGCAATTGCTGGTATTGCGGCCAAGTCTGTGGATTTATTGAATCTGTTCCGTTTTCTATAAAGACGGTACAAATTGCCTGGGAACCGTACGCGGTGTGAGCAGCTATACATTACGTTTATTGGAAAGCAAACACATGCATTCTAAAAGTCAACAACACTTGTGCTTTATCGATCGATAAATCGATTGATTAATAAACATCATCCCATCAATTTATGATTTGGTACAGTGGGGTGAAAGGTGAACATGTGCGAGCTTAAAATGTCGACATGTTGGTTTAATACGACATGTGGCGTAACAATAATATGCATTGTATTGTCAGTACTTTGGAAATAAAAATAAATCGATATACAACTTTCCGATGTACAATTACCGTGACAACGGGAGTACGTGGGATTCTCACTAAATACTGCTAAATCTCAGGGAGCTTAGTTTGATTCATATATGTGTAATACTATCGATAACAGGACCAATTTGATAGACAAATTGGTAGTTGAATATATATATTTTGCTCATTTTGAATACTTGACAGTCACATTGTGTCAGAACTACGGCAAATATAATCAAAGGACACATATCATGTTTACTGATTGATTTAATGAATGTAAAACAATGGTCGCAAAGTTCTATTTTGAACACGATTTGCACATTACAACAGTAGAGATTCACATTTTCGTTGCAATAAGCATTGTACGATTTTGATCCTGTAGATATAAAAGTAAATGACAATGCAGTTGAACAAAATCAGCAAGAAATATTTCCCCAAAATAAATTGCAATACTTCAGACTGAATGAAAATTTACCATTCAGTCTGGCATCTGACATAGAGTACACATACTATTGTATAACACCCTCCACAGGAAAAAGAGAGTGTCGACATTCACTGCAGAGCTTCCATGATTACCAATTTGTCGTGGTAGCCTGTGACGTGATCAGTACAATTTGTACCGTCTTTCTACTTTGTGCGTGTGCTTGGCAATCTCACGTAACATTATGTCGTCACAATCAGTTTTAAATCTAATAATGTAATATTGATTACTCAATTGTACGTTGTTTGTTCTTTCCTCAACACACACTGAAAAACGCATGTACCATTTATTTATTTTTCTTATTATTGTAAAACTCATCAAATAAAAAAAATGTAATTCAAAGCTTGGTCTGGTGTTTTATTGCATGCTTATGTGAATTGAACAGAAGGCACGGCTTTCCAACACTACAATCTAAATAAATAACCTAAAGTCTACCAATTAGTATCTGTAATCTATTATGTAGGTCACAAGTAAGAACACGATACGAGGCTATAATTGCAGCTTGAAGGATTTGTAAATCGTTTTATTCAAAATGTGTGACACAAATGCAAAACACGGTGTGTTAAATGTGCAAATAAAAAAAATGTTTCTAAACAGACACATACTTTAAATCAACCAACTTCTCCAATGTTCTTAATAGACGAATATTACTACATCCATTTCTTGGGCCAGGTTCTTTAATTTGTTGACAGCTCATTGTCCCCATTGTGTTTACGCCCAGGGAAATTCTGTATCAGCCACCTTGTGTGACACATTTGCAACTCAATTTTTGAACGAATCCTTGTATCACGTGCCGCCTCGTTTCAATGAATGGCGAAGATCTAGTGTGTGGTTTTGTTGCATTATAACCATATGAGAAAATAATAGTGTTTCCGAGGGTTGACTGGTCATTAATTTCTTGATATGATTGAATGTCTTTAATTCCTATGTGGGTATTCTGTCGTGAAATCTGACAGTATCTGAGTCATAGAGAGTATGTGTATGTCATATTTCCAGTTTGTGTACACGACCGTTTTCAAATGGAACATTTGGAGAAGTCAAAACGTATGTTGGTAGGTCACGGGCTATCTACAGTGATTGCTAGTTTGTTGTAGATGTATTATCCAATGACTTTAATTTTTTTTTCATATTTCGTTCTTATCAGATTGAAGAAAAGAATATTAATAATCCATTATATTTGTCTCACATGAGTTAGAATAGTTCATATGCAGTGCACAGGCAAGCATTTGTCATGTTGATTCAGGATGTATTATACCATTTGAAGAAAAGATCATGCACAGTATTTCCACAACATGTGTATGAAATCTAATATTATAAATAAGAACGATTTCTTAATTTTGGAGTATGCTAGAAATTAAGCTGCCTGTTGATAACTGTTTTGATATAATGTACACTTTCGAATGCAGTATTTATTCGGCTGGCTTGGTCACTGTGTGGTAAGCATCGACACATATAATATTGAATTAAAATCTAAGTAACCCGATCAGTAGTGTGCGAGTTTGAAGTCGGTTCAACATCCCTTTTACTTCAATCAGCACTGTGAAAAAGACATGCCCACATACTACGGAAGTTTCCCAACGACTATTTGCGTTGAATCACAGACTTTGTCCCCAACAGTGCAAGTTACGATGTGTGCGTTCTAGCTAATGCTGGCGGCTACATACACAGGCGGAAGGTAATATTCTTTACTGAATCAGAGAAGCTGAACCACCCGCCAACCTCCGATATAACCTACACCAGATTGATAACAATTCCATAAATTTGATTATAATCAGTCGAAGCGATGTCCTTGACCAATCGTGATAGGATTATATAACAATGGGTATTAATGTGCGTACACATATTTTTCAGCTGGTGCGTCAGTATAATTCGTTCTGAAATGGCGGGATTCACTCTCACCAATTAACAATGCCAAAATACTTTATTGAAATTTGAAAACTCAATTATACTGCATTTGTTTTGAGTACATGTATTCGTGTCGATCACAGAAACAATGTTGGAGAACTGTTTACTGATGATGGAGTACATATAAAGAAGAGTGTTAACATTCTGCTTGTGGCAGCACTTTTAATAGATAAACTTGTAAACATCACCGATATTCAAACCAACCAAATTCAGTTACTAGTAAGTAGTTTTGTTATTTAGGAACCATTTCACACCAAATGGAAAATTTTAAATAAATCAGATAAACCTAGAAAATAAAGCTATAAAGGCATTATTTAGTATATGTCTCACTGTACTGAACCATAAAACGATCTCTACAAAACTACGCCTTACAATTTTTGATCTCTCCATTTTGGTTATATGGGCGAGAGATTTGAAATGAAAACAAATTTCAAATGAAAACAATTACTTAGAGCAAGCTTGCTTGTAACACCATTGATTGGTACAAGAGGGCCAAATTGGTAGGATTCCTATTAGGATTATAGCAACATTGATCACTGATTAAATATTAGCACAGATTGTCCGTGTTACCCGGAAATCATATTCTAAAATGTGCACTTAAAGAAACAGCGTCTTGAAAATCAAGCTAAAACATGTTAAACAAAAACATGTTAAAACAATTCTTTGATAAGCAGACTTACCTGAGGTAATGAAATTATATAGTGTGGAAAACGTCACTGAATTATTAAAATTATCAAATGCATATTTACAAACAT